ACAAAATTTACTAAAACTTGACTCTATAGGCCTTAATATATATCACAGGATGCATGAAATCTGGTGAGGGGTATAAGGGTGCAGATTGGGTAGGGGGTATAAAGATGATTAAGATTTTTTTTTATGAAATGCTCAAAAATTCAATAAAAATACACATTGAAAAAGTGTAGTATGGGAAGAACACATAGGGGGAAAATCAGCTATTAGCTTGCATTGGCAAGATATGTAACATGGGAGATAAGGAAATATTAAAATTAAATCAAGTGATGTTTGCATACTAGTAATTGCCACATAATTCATGTACAATAAAAGAAGCCATTTGACATTTACCACAGGACAAAACTTGATGAAGCAGCTATAAATTAAATTTTCAGAATCCCTTTCTAGTGAAACAGACTATGGCAAAACCATTTTCAAATCTTTATCCCTCTTTACTTAGGTTCTCTCACCTGGGCCCCTCCTCCTCCACTCAAACCTACCTGGTTGGTTATAGTCTCCCCTCTCTTCACATTCCAGGGTCCTGTGCTTTGCTCCAGACACGAGATCAGAACAGGCTTACATATAACAAGACCTTTGTATAAGAAAGAGGCATATAACGCTTGCTGGACTCTCAAAAGTACTAGTCTTTTCAACACAGCACAGTGCTCCACTGAGAATATTCAGGAAAAGAGCAGACTCTCCAAAGAATTTCCCAATTTTTATTTTCTGACTCATTAGAATACATAGGATTTTTTTTTTCAGTTTTCATATCATGAGTTCTATCACTGACTCAAATGCAACTATGGAAATGGAACTTTAAGATTCTGGCCATAGTATCATGTACTAATTGGTGGCTGAAACTAACACCAGAAATAATGAAAATGGATAATTCCTCTAACAAGTGGAAATAGAAATGATAAAACATAAATATGGGCTTCACAATGCCCAGACATTCCCATGAACTAATTTTTAAAGAATCCAAGATTTAATTAACAAAACTAACATATGCACAAAGTAGACTATAATCTGTCAAGGGACACCAAATAGTAAAAAATTCTCCAAGAAAAAAATCTCCTCACCTAC